GCAGCCAAGGGGAGAGCGGCCGCTGACCCCCGCTCCCTCTCGAGCGAAGGCAGCCCGCCCTGCAGCGCCTCTGCAGCTGGGAACCTGCAGAACTCCCCAGCCCTTCTTTCTTGGTCACATCCCCCTCCTGCCTGCGTGGGATCGTACCATTCCAGTGTCGTTACGAACAGAGGCCCCGCACTCGCACCCACCGCAGCACCAGACGACATTCCCATGGTAACGTGACAAAAGCCTAACCGGTAAGCCCGTCGGGATGACTGTAGGCAGGAAAACCAGACGACTGTCTCGCCCTCCGCCAGGCCATCGAAAGGAACAAATTTCCTCTGAAATACCACAAAACCAGAAGTCAGCTGTGGGGGGAAATAAAAGGCGTGAGATTGATGGGTCATCCCCCCTCGGTCTGAGGCTGGAAAGCAGGGTAATAGCTTTTTTCCACGATTCACATATGGTCAGTGCTTTCTTTAATCAGGGATCAACCTTGGGTACCTCCCTCCTGCAAAACATCATTCCCGAAGTAAGTTCATACCCCACCCGCCACCGTGACCCCAGGAGATACAGGCACAGACCCGATACCCCAGCCCCTAAAGCCATATCCCCACCATAGCTGATCTGAGGACAGGCTTTGCATTTTACTTCCCTCCATACAGAGCAAAGAAAACCGTTCCAAGATCACTTTGAACTGCATTATGAGACTCACAGTACTTATTTTAAAGATCATTAACAGTCACGAGGTCCTCACCGAGTTAGGATAACCTGAAATACCTGTGCCAACGTAACAAATAATCCTCCACAGTTTCATACTCCGAAAACAAGTTTCACATGAAGGGCCTCCGTTAACATCTTTCATTTTTCTTAATTTTCTACAGAAATTCATATTTTTAGAATCTCGTTATCCTTAAGTCCTTTAAAACGCTTTGATAGCTGTGAAATATTGGCCCCTGCCTCAAGCTGGATCACGCCCATGCATCTTGCTCGGCTCTAACGAGCTAGGTATTATCCTCGCCTCGTTTTCATTCCGAAGTAGTTTCTTTCCTCAGCTATTTCCATCACCATACAACCCCCCTGCCCCCAGCATTTACATGTCTTCGCTCAGTTCTAATTCCTCATTAGAACAGAATTTAACAGAGACAACTTTTAACGGGAGCTGTGTACGAGCACTGAAGGATGAATCGAGTTCTGCCCGTGGGGCAGGTATTCCCAGCAAAACCTCCGCCAGGGGACAGATGCTGCTCTTCGTTCACGCAGCCGCAGGGGAGCAGAGTCTCTTCGTCCTGCCGGTGCACGCTGCGGTTTCTGCTTCATGTGAGAGGTATAAAGCAGACTCGAGCCAACACTGCTCTAGATTTGAGGCCTACGGGCTTGGGAAGGCTCAGAAAGAATGGCTACATTTATTGGTTATTAGGGTTTCTTTAGGCTATACAGCCCCTATATACACTCACAACCCATCTGTCTTTATCTCAGAGCCTTGCAGTCCTCCCAGCCTCACCCCTGGTTCTTCAGAGGAACTGAGGGCTTGGAGACGTGACAGTCATCTCTGATTTTTCACCTCTTTCAACAAAAAGAGAGAGGTCTTGCCACCACGTACAGAAAGAAGGGGAAACACGCCAAACACCCAAGGTGGAAAGAGAAATTTCAACCTTGATCATATGCAGTCTTATTAAACGCTAACACCTCATTTTCCTAAGTCAAATTGAGAAAGGTAGTGAAGTTTGGGATAAATATGATGGACAACCTTATTGCTGAAAGAAACATGGGAATTTGCTCTAAGGTCCTGCCTCTTCTCATCCTTTTTTCTTAGCCAATGTGACACTGGGAAAAGCCACCCTCACCAGGCATTACCCAGTAGGTGTATGGTCCGAAGACCCTCCTGGGGAGAGACGCCAGCACAACCTTAAGGTCCTCCTGAGGGATCTCTAGGGATTTTAACTGCAGAGGGTGAAGCCAAGAGCAGCCCTCTGCTCCGGGGTGTGTCAGAAGCCGAATGAAGGGACCTGGAGTCTTTAATTTGAGAAAGCCATCAGAACTGAGGGGAAGAAGAGGGGAAAGGTTTTCCAAAGCAACCCAAAAAGCAGAGAAACAAGGCGAAACGACGTTCAGAAAGGTGCCAGTGAAAGGAGGAGACTGCGGTAAGTTCTGACGAGCTTCCAGGTCAAATCAGCGATGGGGCAAACAGCGACTGTGCAGGAGCATCCCGCCCGCTCGCACCAGGCGTGGTGGCCAGGAGCAGGCAGCGGCAGTGCCGGTGCTGCCGGGACCTCCCCGCCGAGGCGGGCACGCCCCCGCCGGCAGCCGCACGGTGCCGCACGCTCCCCGTCCCGTAGGTACAAGTCCCCTAATTACGGGTTTACATGGCAGAACCCAACCAAATCCAAATGAATCAGCTCCGCTAATTTGAATTTGAAGCATTAGAATATGCAAAGTTTACTGTTATTTATACAGCGAGCAGGCACAGTCACCAGTGGCACAATGAGCTCAGTGACTGCCATTTACCTTTTCACTCCCTTCCAAACGTACCCAAGGCACAAGTGAAACACCCCACGCCCCCGCTATCTGAACTGCCACTAACGGAAAAAACTCAACTTGCATGAATATTCTGCAGGTTTATTCTTCACACGCACGTTTTAGAAGCGGGCGGATTCAGCCGCAAGCCACGTAGATGCTTACCTGTTTCCTTTTAAAAAAGATTTTGCCCCCAACGCCAAAAAAACTCCCCAAATTAAAATGCAGGATCGCGTTAACGTGAAACTTTAAACGCATTTCTCTGCAAAAGCAGGAATATATTTGATATATTCACTCGGATGCTTCTCTGGACCTAGGGATACGTATCCATATGTTCTCAAAATGTGCAGCTGTTACTCGAGAAAACGGCTTTCTGAGGACTCCTAAAGCTCTTCAGCTCAAAATCTCAACCATTTTGGAACCTCCATGAATACGCCTGCCAATTGCTGCTGCTACTGGTTTTAAGAGTGAACAGACACGTCTCCATCCGAGCCGCGTTAACTGGGCACCACTGAGGGCAGCCCCTTTCCATCGGACAACGCCCAGGGTGGCCGGCCCCCGCAGGCACCCCCGAGCCCCAGCCCGACCTGCCGCTCACCCACCGGGGCCCCAAACGAACGCCCCTTCTCTGCCGCGGGGAAGAAACGCCGACAGGTGAAGCTGCAGCTCCCGCACTGCTCTGGGCGAATTCTCATCAGTTTTTGCTGAGAGCTGCTCTGCCTGCGGTTACACAGCAGCACACTTGAAGCAATTACTGTACAAATAATACTTCTTTTTTTTCCCCCCTTATTTTTTTATTTTAATTTTACCTGATTTCCTCCCATGCCGTGGCAGTTGAAAATGCCCACTTTCTCATTTTCCTTGCGGCCCATGTTGTCTAAGCACTGGTTGGTTTCAACGTTCCTGATCTGAAGAAAGAAAGAGATGAAGTGTTCCTTGAAAAAAAAACATGCCTGTAAATGTCATATTTGTGCAGAAAAAAAAACATACATCACTGTAGGAGAAAGTACATTATCCGTGCATTCAACTATATGAATATATTTTAACTTGCAACTTGTAAATATGCCACGTTTCTGAAAGAAAATAATTACAAAGAGTATAATGAGATTTTAAGTTAAATTTATTAAGTACGAACAGCATTCAAGGGAAATCTCTGCCCGGCGTTGTTTGGTTTAACAAATACAATACGCTTTTCCTTCTAAACGATGCCAAACTAATGGCTCGCCCAAGACAAGCGCTTGCATTCTCCTCCAGCAGGGCTGCCTCTGCTCCGAGAGAGGAAAACCGAGCACGAGGCGCGGCTGACGGCTGACTCCTTCGGAGCAGCGGCTGCTGGACAGCTTTGTGACCGACCACCCACTTTTTACAAGCTTTGAAGTACGACTCTGCCCTCAGCACCTCTCCGTTCTCAGAGGAGACCGAACATCTCCGCTCAAACCAACCACTGCTGCAGAGCTTGAGCGCGAAGCCGCCACCGAAGGCGGCTTCACGCCACGCGGCCGCTCCCTCCAGCCACGCTCCGCTCCTGCGATCGCAACGGAGGAGCGTGGGAGCGAGCAGCGAGGAGCAGCAGGGCACGTACCAGAGCGTCACCGCTCCTCAAGGCGTGTTTTTGGAGCGCACGTTCACCCAGGGAAACGGCTGAGCACAAAAGCAACCGACCGACTTCGGCTTCGTAGGGGAGGAGAAGGGGGAGACGCCACACGACGCCCGAAGACCCGAAGCTCTCCCAGCCGCAGTCTCACGACGGTGCGGGCATCCAGCCCGCACGGCCCCCAGCACGTGCAGGTAACACGTTTTCTCTGAACCCCTCCAAGATACCTGCCAGCACCACGGCACAAACGCGGCTCCCCCTGCTCCTCCTCGCTCCCCGCAGCACGGCCGCATTTTCTCACCGTTGCGTGCAAAGCACGACCGCGTCTCCAGCTCCAGCTCCCTCGGCAAAACTCGGGAAACTCCCCAGTTCGAAATACTTCGGTGGCCTTTAGCACAACTCTCGGTCACCTGCGATTCCCCGCGCCACCTCCGCAGGCAGGGCAGCCAGCCCCAACCCAACGCCACCAGGCCGGCGGCGGGCAGCAACGCCATTAACGCCGCTTCTGGGGAAGGGAGGCTCAGCGGGGCTCACGCGGCCGCTTCTTCAGCGGCTCTAACGTTACTCACGCAGAAAGCAAACTCGCCACCTTGTGCTGGTGGGAAACACCTCAGAGGCTCACACTCTTCCTTCCTTAACCCTCCACGAGCTGCCGAAGCCGGGAGAAAGGCTGCCGGCCCTCCCAGCCCGCTCGCTGCCCTGCGGGTTCAGACTCAGGTGCCGGCTGATGACCAGACCCCCAATTCCCACCCCTTTCCAGCTGCTTTTAAACCAAAACGGCCCTTCTTCAGAGCCCAGTGAAAGCAAACGGCTTCGTGTGGCTACGGCAGCACGTGGATTTCTGGGGTAACCCGCTGCACGTGCCCCGGGCCAGCCGGAGCATCGCCGGCAGCAGGAACGCCGCAGCGTGGAGGAGCCAGCCCACGGACAACCCCTCCTCTTCTCCCCGCTCTCCTCTCCGCCAGCACGTGCCACTCTGCAGACCACCAAAGCCACTGCAGTCCCGAAACTGCATCCTGATGATCAGCTCAGGCGATAGTCCGAGCTCAAACGGTAATCCCAGCCTTTCCTCTTAAACCACCTCTTTGGGGAAACAGAGTCTCAAGTGTTGCCATGAGAGAGGCGACGAATCAAGGGTTTAATTAATTAAATTAAAACAGAAGACTGAAATAAAACAGTGACTTTAGAACTCATCGATGATTATTCCATCTAAGTTCTACAAAATAATTATTGTCTTGTGTTTACTTTGTGTTCCCTTTCGATATTACGTGATTAAAATCTAAAAAAGAATACTCGGTGTTGACCACATTTTGCACATTTTATGCCCACTCTGAGGCACGTTTTCCTCCATCTAGGAAACCCGAATCTCGTACATCGCTGTGTAGACATATATAAAGTTATGTCCTAACTGAACGGAAAATCTAGTCGCAAACAAAGGCTTGGCAGCCTTCAGGATCTGCCTGTTAACGTGCCACAACGAGCAAACCTCATACACTACTTAGGAACTTCAGCTCTGTGCAACTCCCCCCTTCAGAAATGGCACGTGAGAGCTGCGCCCTTCACGCACAGGACGAAGTTAGTCAGTCAGCTGTCAGTCAGCTGCGCAACAGCCAAACCAACTCCACGTTCAGACGTCACACAACATTGATGGTTATTCCTATCGGGCTGGGCGGTGCGAGCGAACCCTGCAGGCAGCACCGCCTGACTTCAAGTCACCCCTGCACGACCTCGCAGGAGGTCACAAGTAAATTACGGATGCTTATCCCAAACCTGTCACGGCTCACTCTCTCTGCCACTGTTTACACTACAAAAGAACAAACCACGCGCTCGCACAGCATCATTCGGGGCCCGGTGCTGAGCACTCGTTGCGTTCCGACTGCGCTGCTCCAGACCCGTTTTCCCTGATTTATTACCAAGCCCCGTTCTCAGCGGCCAGCACACCCGCGGCTCCCAGCACGGCTGGGCACCGTCCTCCCCCGGAGCTGAGCACAGGGGACGCACGGCCACCCCCGGCCGGGCCCCCTCAGCGCAGGGCGCATCTCGCCGCGCAGCACGGACCACTTGTGGACTAACGGTCCCGCAAGTCAGACGGTTTGTCCCACCCGAGGCCAAATCTCGGCCGAAAGGGGGGGAAACGACTGAGAAACACACTTCTGATGGTTTCCAATTGTCCATCAGTGCTGCCGACGGCACCTGAGCTCTACACCCAAACCCCCACTTCGCTGCTCAACTGGCCGTCGGCAGCTGCGACAGTCACGTACGCGCCCCAGTGCCTGGATCCTGCCTGAGCTGCTGTCTCCATAGAAACTGAGGCCGGGTTGGTAAAAGGAAAGTGTTTGAATAACTATTTTATTACTTTCTCATACTTCTATTTTCCCCGTTGACAACACCGTACAAAACCTCCTTATCTAACGCTTGTTAGACAAGTTCTCTCCTTGCTGTAAAACCACATTTCATTTTATTTTGTCATAGTTAAACTGGAAACCCTGCCGTGGCTTTTATTTTTCACTACAATTGCAAGTTTTAATAGTAAATTACTTCCCTGGATGTAAAAAAGCCATTTGCTCACTTGATTGCTATGTTATCCGTAGCTATTTTTAAATCAAACCATTCAAAAGCTTTTAAAAGTCTGCGTAGGTACAACTCAATAGAATGTTTTTAACAGCGAATTATCTGAATTTTAAAGAGATTTCAGTTCTTGGTGGTACTAGAACATCAGATTATTTGCAATGTCTTTGATACGCAGCTCCAGAAATACGGCATCAATGAACAAACACATTTCTTTAAAAGAAAAAAGAAAGGAGAAAAAAAACCCCAAAACTTTTTCTGCTCTACATTTAAGTGATAAGTGATGATGGAAAGTTCCCTTCAGCTACTGCACATCCTTGCTTAATTATTTCAAAATACTGCTCTCAAACCGCACTCTTCCGACATGCCACTTGATTTACAGGATAAATACTTAATGGGGAACACACTCATTCAGAACATCAACGCCCCCTCACGAAAAACCGAAGAGAAAATACAACGTGCTCAAGAGTAAAGACAAATAAGACGCAGGGCCTGCACACAAGCACTTCAGTCCCTTCTCCAGGACCCCTGCCCCTTCTCGGGGGTTCCTCCATACGCACCGTGCGGTTTCATTTAGCCAACGGGAACGGTCCGTACCTCACCGAGGGAGTAGTAGCGCCGTGGAATCTGGGAGTCGGGATAGATGTTTTCCAAGTACCACGAGAAGGGTTTACACTTCAGGTTCTCTCTCAGTGCTTTTCTGACGGATACATCGCCATAATCCACCTTAACAACACCTGGAATTGTTAAGAGAAGAGACGATCAAAGCACGGGTTTTGTCAGGCTGCAAAGCACAAACTACAGCCCCTTCTCCGGCTGTCACCGCTTCCTTTTCATCACCAGCCAGTCGCTGGAATCACGGGACAGCAGCGCGCGGACACGGGTGCAGCTGCCACGCCGCAGATCGTTACCAGCACTAAATAATTCATTTAGCAAATCGAAATGCGTGGAAAATTAATTTTTTTTTCTTTCCAGATAATTTATCAATCCGGAAAGGCGGGACCACTGCACTCCTTGACTCCTTCACCTTCCAAAACAAAGAAATCCGTTTACGTTTCTACAAACCATTCTTCCCAAAGCACCTGGCTCGCGTTTTCCAGCACTCCCGTCGAGAGAAGCAACTCGGACGAGGCACGGCGACGTCACTGATGTAACCTACATCACCCTTCGGGGGATTTCACCAGAAAGGACACATTCCCCATCCTGAGGAACCCCATCGCTCCCTGCCCCACGCCCCCAAGGTCCCCAGACGGCCACGAGGCAGGGAAGGGGGAAGAAGGCAGCAGGTTCCTGCGGAGACCAGCCGGCGGACAGGACCCACCTGCCGCCCGGACGCACCACCCCTGAGGCGGGCAGGCACTGATGGCACGGCTCTCCTGAAGGGAGATGGGGTCACACCGTGTCACAGTTAAAACCGGCACCGTGTCCCGCTGGCACCGTTCCCACCACAAGCCTGTACATCAGAGGCCTGGGCCAGCAGCACCCCGCTGGCCACCAGGAGCTGTGTGTGGGCCGCTAATCAGAAATACAGGCCACGAAGAGAAAAAAAAAATAGAATAATAATCAAGAAGAGGGGAAATCGGTTAGAAACCCCCCCTGTACAGTGCATCCCGCTTTCAATGGCAAGCTTACGATAGCCAGTCAAGCCATGGCGCTGCTGGGGCTAGGAGCATGTGCCCAGGAAAGCAGAAATGGAAGTGGGGGGCACAGCCACGGCCGCACGTCCCAGACTCGGGAGACGGAACGAGAGCTCAGCAACGGCCGTGCGTCGGCCCAGCTCACGGCCCGAGCGCGTCGGCACCGCCGGCAGATCGCGGCCAAGACGGAGGTGGCTCGAAATGGACCCCAGAGGCGCGTGAATAAGGAACTTGCAAGGGTTAAAAGTATTCCTGAAGCCTTCGAGATGCAGCGTTCCCTCTCCAACCCGTCCACGTACGTGCTGGTTTTGGCTGGGATCATGTCTCTGTAGCCTAATTTAATCTAATTTTAGACGAGAACTATCGTCCAAAGGAACAGCGGGAGGCAAAGCAGCAGCAACTGCCAGCACTCAGCTGAAGTAGTCTGAAAGATGCTCCCAGACTCGTATCTGAAATCCATGCTGCACCTCCATTACCTTCTGCTTTTATGGGATCTTATTTTGAAATTATCACCGAGGTGAAGCTCCAAGGACATCAGCATACTGTGCTAGCAAATTACGCCCTAAAGCACAAGATGATACCCATTTTTAAAGAAATTCAGGAGACAACAGCAGTACAACTATTCATTGCTACGATGAAAAAATTAACTTCTTTTGGATAATCAACCGCATTTCCAACTATTTACGTCTTTGACCAATCAGGATTTTTATCACTATGTAATCGTAGGATATGATGTAATTCCAGACAATTAAAATACAGGGTATGCTACAAATTATTGCTACAGGCTAAAAGCAAGGCAGGTGCTCCTGGGAAGCACTTTGGCCTGATCACAACGGCTGGGGGCGACTGACACGTCATCGGCTCCAGATCAGCAAAAACTCCTCAGAAACTAAATGCACCCGATGGGTGCCAAGAAATTGAGCGGCCTTTAGTCGGGTGGTAGGGAAGTAGGAAATGTTAAACTTCAGTAAACAGACGTGTTCAAACAAAACCTTCAACCGTAACCCACATATAGCACTTAAATCATCGTCATTTCGGGGATGGAGGAAAAGCGAAGACAAGTCAAATCCAGGTTAAACGCAGGAAAAAGCCGAGCTCAGGGCACGGGGAACACATGGGCCTTACGGCACAGACGTGGTGGCCAGGAGGCTTCATCTGCTCTTCAACCCTCAGACCACCTTCTGGGCTACAGTATGTTCGGTGAGGTATTTGGGGAAGTTTTAGAAAACTTCTACAGGACTCAAAGATTTTTATTCTTCCCCAGAAACAGAGGTAATTTATCGGCTCTTCTGCAATCAGGGAGATTGATCACAGAGTTTCGTTTGATTCTGTTTAGGGGAAGAAAACTATCAGTATTACAGTTATTTAATATTTTACTGTTTCAAAAGGCAATTTTTCAACTCCTGCAGTCACTAATTCAACTTACAGTACCTCGAACGCCTCGGTGCCTAGCCCCTCTGCTTCCATTAAGTAGCATCTTACGGCTGGTTCGTTGCTTTGTGTCTGTCCACACTCACCGCGAAAGGACCAACCAAGACAGACACCGGAGAGGACAACAGCTCGACCCGGTCTGGCACGAGCAGGACCGTGACACGAGTGCCGCTGTTGAGCGTGGGTCAGTTGTACGTACCAAGGGTGGAAGGGCAAGAGCACTCGCCTGACCTCGAAAGCGATCTGTGCAATGTGTGCCACAGGGCACTGAGCTGAAAACATCATTGCTTTCAGAAAAGAGGCTTTATTAAAAAAAAAAAACAGTAATTATGTTTTCTGGGGAAGCTTTTAAAGGCAAAGGGGAGTGGGGGTCTGCGATTGCTGCCTCTTGCAGAGGAAGAGACGTGCCCTACTGCTATTATTTGTGCTACTCAGTCCTCACCTATAATTAAGCTCATCTTCCTCATGGGAAGGCACTGGAGGCGTTAGGAGAAAAGCAGTATCTGTGTTTCATGGCATTTTATACTGTGGGGACCTGACGAAGCTGAACACGAGGAAAAAGGATATTAACATGGTTATAGTCTGAGATTGCAAACAGCACACACGCACACTCTGATATCAGCGTTACAAACCAAACCAGAAACACTGTCTCTTCAATGAAAACTGTGGATTCAAACAACACCTTGTTTCTATTTCACTTTGCAATTCTTACAGGCACTTCTATTTCCACATTTGGTTCAGCCCTGAAATTGCTGGAATGGGAAAAGCAATAAGCCATTTTCCACTCAATCTGACTCAACTTCATACTTGAGTTTTCTGTAATTATAAAAAAAAAAAAACCCCAAACCCTAGAGCAATAAATTCTAGTTTTACATTTTAATAAAAGTTAGCCGTAGAGAGGGGGAGTCTTTGGTGGGTTTGGCAGGCTCTCCTCACTGGGGTAGGATTATCCTAAGGCTCTTGGGATCCCACAGGAGACACAGAGACCATGGCCACCGGGCACAGTGGTGACCCAGGTCTCAAGGCACTGGCCTCAATGCCCCCTCCAATCCAAGCTGTCTCTTTCCTTTCTTTCCTAATACACGTTGACAATACTCCCCGCTGCAACCCTGAGAGGTTCTCCTTTGCCAAAGCTCCTCTACTCCATATATTCCTCGTCTTGCACGGGCTGGGCTGGCTCGTTCGAGCAGCACTCACCCCCGTCGCACGGAGCCAAGCCAGCACGTACACCCTGCGCTGCCTTCCAGCAAGGACCTCATTTGTATGGATCTCCAGTAAAACCTTTATAGCCCCTTCTGCTCAATTTAAACCCAAGCTATTATGAATCAATACCTATTTATTGTCACTACTTGCCAAATAATCGACAGGACTCAGAGGAAATATAAAAATAATGAATAGCTAATACACCTGCTTACACTTGAATAAGAAAACCCAAGTAAAACGTCCTTGGGTGCAAAAAAAGACATGTAACGTCAGAAGGAGCTACAGAAAGCGTGGTGGGCAAAGGAACGGATTAACAACACGCCGGGAAAGCAGCAGATCGTTTTAACAGCGCAGCGGAGGTGTTTCAAGCAGGAGAAATGAAGAGGTCGCAGCACTGCATCAACGGGCTCGTCCTGCAGGCTGGCGTACGAGGGCAGAGCTTCAAAATCAGCAAAAGGCACCATTTCTGCAGAACAAGACGTTAACTCACGATGATAAAGATGGAAAAAAAAACAAACCCTAACCCAACAAAACACACACCTGGAGTGGAACAGAAGTTGCAGAACCGAGAATAACTTTCTGAATAACACTTGGAAAACCGAATCCAAAGCAGGCTTTTGCTATCTTCTGCTGCCCTGAAGAACCTGAGAGGAAACCCTCGCCTCATTAAACTGGTATTTCAGTGCATTCAGCGCGAGAGCACCGTGACCAGAGAGGCTGGTCTGCGCCCGTCTGGCGGCAGCTCAGCTCTGAAAACCGGCACCACGGGAGCCAGCGCATTGCCCCAGGTGCCCCCTTTAACCGAGAAAGCTGAGAACCGAGTCAGAGGCCACCAGGAACCGCCAGAGCTGGAGGTGGTTTAGTTTGATTTTTGCCTTGTTGTTTCTTTTTTTTTTTTTTTACTACCGAAGCAGCATTCGACATTATGTTCTGTTTCACAGGATTAAAGATGGCAAAGTGCTAAATTAAAAACGAGTCTGCAACACCAGGATGCCTGGTTTGGCACACGTTACAGAGAAGCAATGAGAACACCTGCCAATAATTTCTGAAAAACCCCAGTTTCTGTATCAACATGGTTCAACAGGTGCCTGGGAGGACACAGTAATTGTTAACATGAGCATTTTCTAATTAACCAAAATGTTAATTCCTTGACATGTCTTGTTCATACTGCCAAAAACGATGCAAAACTCTCTAAAAAGTAAAACGAACAAAAAATGTGCTAACTCAAAAAAACCCACCACCACCCACCCTCCCCCCTCTTCCTGAGAAGTTCTTACATCAATTCATGAGTGTTTTCAGATAAATATAGGCAGTGGCTTCATAATATAAAACACTGCATGGAATGAAGATTCTGAGCTTTTCAAGGGAAAACATCAGTTATATATGCTTGGAGAAAACACGCTTGCAATTTCCGACAAAAAAAATCTTAGCACTCCAGAAAATGAATCAATATTGTCAATATTTCT